GGTGGAGTGATGATGCAGCCTTATTTAAATCCCATCTTAATCTCAATGGGATCTGTGAGAGATCCGTTACTGGAACCACTATTTGAATACCATCATGGAGCAGGTATTCTTTTTGGTGGGCATCAATATTTCAGAAGGATCCTTCACAGTGGTTCTTGGTTGACAGAGTTGAAGGCTTTTGTGAGGTCAAAGAAGGCCATGTAGAGATGTTTAATGTTGTTCCCAGTATTTTTCCTGCAGCTAGCAATCTGTATATCATGTCAGTTGTGCCTCTTGATGCCCTAAACCCTCACTCCAGAAGGAGCTCTTCAGCAAGTGGAAGGAGATGGTTCAGAAGGGTTCTTGCAATGCTTTCCTGTAGTGGACAGCAAGGCAATCCCTCTATAATTTCCACAGTTGGACTCGTCTCCTTGCTTGAAGATTGTCACAGTCATGGTGTCCCTGAGGTCATCTGGGATTTCCTCATTGTTCAGTGGCGACGCATAGGGGGTGCACGGGGGTGCATGTGTACCCCCTGAGAGTGCTGGTGCACCCCCTGGAAGCAGCATTCCCTGCTTAGGCAATGGGCAGGGCAGGGCAGGTGAGTGCTGGTGCCCCCCTTGAGAGTGCTGGCCGGGGAGTAGGGGCGCCAGGAGAAGTGATTCCCACAGTCCCCCCCCCCATGGCTGATCATGCTGACCGGGGTGGGAAGTGCCAGCAGCCCAGAAGTGCCAGTGGCACAATTGGCCCCAGGGAACACCCCTCCCCCCCAGTCACTGACTGGTTGCTGGGGGGTACAAGTGCTTCCCCTGACTCAAGAGACACCAGTCACCCATGTACATTGTTCCAAATCCTTAAGATGAGGGTATGGAGTTGTGATGTGAGGTTCTCCCCCCCCCCGTTTGAATATTTTGGCAGGGATTCCATCTGTTCCAGATGCCTTCAGACCACTTAGGTATCAGAGGCATTGGGTACATCTATGCTTTCACCACTACAGTTCTACTTCCACCTAAAATTCTACTACTATGTATTCCCAGAAGTACCACCAGCTTGACTGAGTTGAGCAGCTCAACATTCATCTCCCACATAAGGCTGTTTGGGATTCACAAATGAGACATCCATGTGCCTAAATCCCCAGAGTTCCCTTTCTATTAGATGTGCTGAAAATTAAGCTAAAATGCAGAGACAGCATTGAATTCAGCACAAAGCACAGCCAGTGGAAGTAGATTCAGACTTTTAAATAATAGTCTAGTTAAAACACTCATCTACAAAGTGGGAGACCCAGGTTTAGTGTCCTCCTCAGCTTGAGGGAGTCCAAACCCACATCTCCCAGGAAAGTGACATGACCAAAGAGGCTGTATATAATGTTGTGAGGGGGCATTTTCCACGAGGGTAATGTCGTGCGGCAGCTGAGCCACTGTGAAGAAAGGCGTGCAAGATTCATAGGTCCAGAGACAAAATAAGCAAGAGGGAGCATGACTGTAGCCCAGCGATGAGGGCTCTGTCCCTGGAAATGGGATCCTGGAGTGTCTGTACACGTGTGGGCATGCTGCTCCAACATGCTGCAATTGCATTGCGCCAGAGCAGAGTTGATTAATCAAGTCTGCTGGAGCGTTCGAATTAGCATGCTCCAGCAGTCTCCATATCTCATGTATTCAGTGTCCCCATGGTTCAAAATGGTGGCAGGTCCCCTTTAACTAAAGCGCCCTTGCTGCCATTTTGAAGCGCGGGGTGCTTCAGTACACAAGTTGAATGCACGCAACGCTGTGGGCACTTTAATTAGAGTGACTCTAAGAGCCTGTAGCAAGTCCATGGCCATGGGAGTAGCCATGACATTCCCTGGTGAGCCAGGCAGGCGCCGCATGGCCAGGCTCGGCTGCAGACCTTCCCTTGAATCTTGCTCACCACACCTTGCTCTTAATGAGGGTTATAAAAGGGAGGCTGCTTATGGACTCTGTGTGAGCCTGGGCCTGTGTCGATACCCACTGGCATGAACGACACATGTCCCTGGCAGCTGGGGGGGGTATGGTGGTGTCAGGAGTGTGGCGGCGGTAAGTGGGAGCTCCCACAGATGCCACCGGCGCTGTCGGCAGCGGGGGGGGAGGAGGTGTCAGCGCCGACCAGGGGTCAGCGACCACCCACAGATGCCACCGGCAGCACCAGCAGTGGCCAACAGGGATTGCTGACTGCCCACAGATGCCACCGGCAGTGTTGGTGGCGGGTGGGGGGAGGTGGCGAGCGGCAACCGTCCTCAGCCGCCGCTGACCGTGTCGGTGACGCCTTTTTGTAGTGGGTGCACCGCCACACTCAGGAGGCACATGTGCACCCGGATGCACCCCCTACGCGTTGTTCCTGCCCACTGGGCCTCTTCTGGGTCCCCTTGATCACAGTCTTGTGCCCCCAAGCCAGTAGCCCCACCCTCTCAGCCTGTCTGTACCTTGGCTGGGCACCCGTTGCCTTAAGGGCTCCTTGCAAGGCTCTGTATCCCCCCCAAGCATGCCCTACAGCTGTTTTCTCTCTGTGATTTTGCCTCGTTATGCACTCATCCCCTTGGGCTTTCGGACTTCCCTAGTCCCTTACACCGCTCCTTCTCAGGGGTCCAGGACCCCTGGTCCTGCACACCTCCCCATCTCTGGGTTACCAGCCCCCTAGTCCTGCATGCTGCCCCTTTTCTGGGCTCTCAGACCCTCTGGTTTGGCTTAGCCCTTCCCCAGGTTCCAGGACTCTCTACAGGCTCAAAATAAAACAAAGGCTGCTTGCCTGTAAAAGAGTCCTTCTCTACCCAGGGGGCTTGCCTCTGCTCTCAGGCTTGCAGATTTGTCTATATAAGTTCCAGCTCCTTTAGGAGCCCTGCTGCCCAGAACTCCTCACCCTGTGGAGAGACTGCCTGCCCGACTCAGGCTCTGGGCTTTCATAGCTCCAGCCTGAGCCCTCTTCTGGTCAGCTGAGTCTCACTGGCCCCCTGCACCAGTCTGGGAGCAAAGACTTGTACTCCAGAGTCCCCACTCCCTTGGAAGTGCCCTCATCAATGGGCTACAGGGTCAGCCTCTTTCTTTACTGTCTCTGGCCCTATGAATCTTATGTTTATTTTTCCACAGTACAGCCACTTCAAAAGGAGGATTGGAAGTGCCCCCTGCCTGCCTAACTGTTGGTGGGAGAAGTGGGTTTGAACACCCTGAGGCTGCAGAGGACATTGGGTTTCCCCACTTCCTGGGTGAGTCCCATGACATCTAAGCTATTCCATATTATAAATGATGAAAAGCAGCTGTATTTTAGAAGAAAAGAGTGAGCTAGTTATCCATACTCAGAGAAACAAGTTACCAGTAAGTCTAGTAAGTGGTTTTGGGCTGTGAACCCCAGTCATATATAAGCACTGGGTTATGTGATTTAAGTCAGAGGCAGGACTTTAGACACATCCCTCTCTTCAGCATATTTTATTGTCTGGTTTAGGCATCCACCCTGCTCAGGAAGTTGAGTACTGTATGTTCTATTCTGGAGCACCCAACTCTCCCCATTCCCTTCCAGAGAGCTAAGGTACCGCATTTGAATATATTAATTTCATTGCCAGAACCAAGCACCTGTATGTGAGACGACACTGAGATCATCGTCTGTAAATCCTTTTGTGTATTTTAGTTCGTAATACAAAAGTGCACTGAGGTCAGCATACACCATTTTAACTTGAGACATATCTTAAGGTGTCTGAAATGAAGTTGGGGGAAAGGTAAAAGCCACTATAACCTACAGCTGGCTTACTCTTAGTCAGTTTGGAAAAGATCTTGGAATTCTTCAACAAATGGACATTTTTCAGAGTAGCAACATTTCCTAAAATGCAGCTGAATCCAGAAAAATTGTACTTATCTCCACAATACAGTTTGCTGAGGTAATTAGCAGAGTTACCATATTCCAAAAAAAGGCTAGCAGCAGCCTGCAGAGCTACATTTCCAACCTACCAATCATGCTTTGTTCATACAGTTGAGAAATGGTCTGAGCAGTGTAGTGCATGTGGTGAATACCTGCTATCACAGCTCTCAAAATGATTTCAGGCAGTAGCCTTTGGGACTCTCAGATGCTTTTTCAGCTGCTCTTCTTATCCTTCAGCTTTTGTTCACTACATCATTCTTATCCAAAGTTTGGATCCACAAAGAACATCAGAGCAGTTAGCTCAGAAGATTTTCAGAAAGATAAGGCTATGATTCTGCACAGAAGTTTCGATATGCAATTACTACTGCGGACACTAAGGATGGAATTCCACTTGCTTGTTTGTGTCTAAATGGCATGTTTCTACCCATATAAGTGGTATTTTTGACACTTCCATACAGGCAGCAATTCTATTTCGTCTGCAGTGTGGATTACACAGACTGAGTGTGCACAATAGGCTACAAGCTGGCTGGGCAGGTATGCAGCTACATACACAAATACAGGCTACAAGCTGGCTGGGCAGGTATGCAGCCACTTACACAAATCCCTGCCATTCTTGACATGAAAACTTAGCCAGAAACCTAGGATCAACCAGTGTTAGACTCCGGAGGAGGAGGAGGTGGGCCATCCTCTACTTTAGCCCCCATAACTGAAGGGTTAGGCCCAGGGGGTACTTACCATAGGAAACTGAGGACCCTTTTATCCATAGGAGATTTGAATTTTCTTCTCTTTGCAATTGCTGCAGTGCTCTAACTACCACCCCACAGGTTAGGCATTATCTCATCCCGCTCTTTTTGAAGCTGGACCCTGGGCAGCCAAAAGAGGGATCCATGTAGGGCCATAAGGAAGAGAGCGAGAGGGTGTCTCAGTGAGTCTGAATGATATGGCACCTCAGGCCAAATCTGGCCCATGGGCTGGAGGTTGAAACCCCCTGATTAAGGCATCCTGTGGCTCAGTCAAGTGGAGTTAGAGAGCCCTGGAAGCTTCTCTGTAGTGAAGGATGTCTGTATGCATTTGATCCATAACACAAAACAAAAACAATCCCTGGTGCAAGGACTGGAATATAGGAACATCTTTACATGTGCTCTGGGGGTGCTTTATTTAGAGCAGCTCTGTAACAGGGCACTGGGATGTGCCTGCTCCTTTTAGGGAGCTAGCAGTCTGCAAGGCTGCTTGCGGGTGGTGCAGGGGGCCACTGAGAGACTCAGCTGACCGGAAGAGGGCTCAGGCTGGAGCTATGAAAGCCCAGAGCCTGAACTGGCCAGGCAGTCTCTCCACAGGGTGAGGAGTTCTGGGCAGCAGGGGTCCTGAAGGAGCTGGAACTTATATAGACAAATCTGCAGGCCTGAGAGCAGAGGCAAGCCCCCTGGGTAGAGAAGGACTGAGTTTTACAGGCAAGTGGCCTGGGAAGGATTCAGCCAAACCAGAAGGTCTGAGAGCCCAGTCAACTGGAGTTAGAGGGCCCTGGAAGCTTCTCTGTAGTGGAGTATGTCTGTAAAGCAAACAAAGGTTTGGGAAAACAGTGGTTCTCAGCAGTATGGCCTGAGAAGCCAACCCTGTAAAGGGACAAGGATTCAGCCTGGGGAAGAGAAAGAACTGGTTCTGCCTAGGTGCTCTTGTATGTTAGTTTCTAAATACAGAATCAGGATGCCAGTATGTAATTATAAGAATTAACTGACCTTGCAACGTGGCTACAACAAATAGACAGGTATGTTAGCTGTACTGAACTGGTTATGGGAGTCTGCCAGGACAGAATTGTCTCTGGCCACTATAAAGGAGGGAAATGGAGATCTTATTCTTGAAGGAGAAACTCTGATGGGATTAGGCTTGATGAAAAGAAAAATGTCAGCAAAGCAGAAGAGCACAGGGACTGCTGCAGGGAATGAAAGATAAGGCTATAGCTGGTAGTATAAATGTACAAATAGAGAAGCATGTATGAAGCGTGTACATCTTTTCCTTCTTAAAATAGGATTTCTTTGAAGAGTAAGTAAGAATGTAGACACAAAAGTACACTAGACCCTGTAGGGTACCACATGATGATAGACAATCTATTTATACTTGTCCAATGCCAATGCAATCCTGACATAAACCACATGTATCATAGTAACAGAATTGGCTTAGAGCTGACTTATAGTCCCATATACTAAATGCATATTTAAATTGCTGCCATCCCACATCAAGATGGTCAAAGCTACTGTAAGCTGAATTCTGTGGTGCATATTTCAAACACTGTAATCAGATCTTTGGGTAGGTTTCTCTCTCTCCCACCCATGCTAGAACTATAGGAAAAGTCAAAAAATAAAACTCATAGATAGAAAACATGCAAAAACTTACTTTTCACAACCTTCAAAAAAATCAACAAACACAGCATAATGGATTTGCATTTTCTTTTATTTTGGAAACACTTTGAGAATCGTATTAAAGCCTTGATTTCAGACCAGGCTGACTGAAAAAATGTTCAGATTCAGTAAAAAACTGTTTAGTTTAGTCTAAAACTGGTAAGGTGAAAAACTCCTACAAAGTCTCACTTAAATATAGTAACATCCAATTTCAGTGATGTAATAAATATAAACAAGATGTCCATCAATTTAGTTGGTAATTTTTAAAGATTTCCACTAAATACTCTGCAATCCTCTGAAGCATCTGAAAACCACAAATACTGTGCAGTTATTTTGTCTGCTATTTAGAGAATACATGTAGCTTGTTTTCTGCTGTTATTCTGTGTTAGTGTTTTTATTATTGTCTCTGCTTTGACTAGTGCATCATAGCCTTTGTTGTCAAATTAGCCAAAACCTTATATGCATGATTAGCCACATTTTCTCTCTGTGAGCTCCAGTGGTATTGTAATGTCTTAAAATAGTGTCATTTTGCTTTGTTACTTTAAGGATTGTGAGCCAGTCCTCTGCTAATGCAAATTGGTATAGTTCCATCATCCTTAGGTGAAAAACTGACTGTGTATTTGTTAAATTATGCGGTGGATTGCATTTGTTTCCAATTTGTGCTTCAGCAAATATTGAAAACCTGCTTTAAAAATTTCATAGACTAGCTAAAACATTGATTTTAGTGGTGGGAATAAGGTCAGAGGAGCTGAGGGGAAGAACGTAAATCCAGCTACATTTCCCCTGTACAAGATAGAAAATGGTTTGTTTCATAAGCTGAATGACCTGTAAAAGTTTTTAAATTGGCCTCTAAATTTTAATGTTCTAATTCTGTGCTTGAAGCTTTCAGTGGGCAAGATTTTATGTAGCTTAGATCTTATTTGGATTTTCAAGCAAATATAATTTGTGCTTTCTACCTGGGTAGTTAAATATCTATTCAAACTAAAGAAAACAGAACCCTTAGATACACAGGTTTAGGCACATAAAGGCAATTACACCAACAAAAAAATTGGCCCAACAGCTAATCTGAGACTATTTTGAAGAATTGCAATGGATCTGCAGTATTAATTTTATTTTGCAATTCATTTAAACTTGTTCCTCCACATTCCTGACATCAGCTGCTTCTACAAGCAGCTACTCAAGGGAGTGGGCAGCAAAGAAACGCTCTAGTTGTTTCACACTAATGTAAATTACTTTTGGTATATACTTAAAAAAGTCTTCTGCACAATTTGCTCAATTATTTTAAAGTCCTGCCAGTACAAGATAGTGTAAAATGAGCTTCATTTACAATCCAGTGTATGCAGGTACAGAGTAATCTGAAGACAAGCAGTAGTTCTGAAAATCATAGGGCACTACCAGATGCACAAGTCCCTGCTCTAACTCATAGTGCTTCACAGAAAGCACCATGAGTTAGTGACACCCCCACCCCCCAAACCGACCCAACAACTGGTTTGGAGCCAATCCAGCTG